GGAGACGCGCGACTCGCTCGGGCTCTCGCGACCCGCTCCCTCCCCCCGAAACCCTCGCCGCCGCCGCCTCCCCAGCCCCGTCTCCGGCGGGATCCGGCCGCCCTCGCCGGTGCGCTGACTGGATCCGGCCCCCCTTCCCCCACCCTTCCTTCCCCTCCCCTCTTTCCACCCTCGTGCCGCCTTCCCGGGAGGCGGCCGAGGTGGCTCCTGCACCTCTGCTCTCGGCCTCTCCTCCCTCATCCTCTCCCCTGCCGTCGACGGCGGGCGCCCCCGGCTCCGGCCCGGGTGGTGTCGGCGGCGGCAAGATCTCCTCTCCCCGCGCGTGCGTCCTCCTGTCCCGGGGCGTGGGGTGGCAGCGGTGTCGCTCGGCAAGGCAGCGGTCCGGTGACCCGGCGGGGTGGCCGGCGGCGGACATGGTCGCGGCGCGGCCACTTGGCGGCGGGGCAGCATGTGGCGCGGGGTGGCCGGTGGCGCATCCCCGGCTCAGATCTGGGCCCTACGGGCCCCATCTGGGTCTTAGCGGGTCGGTCCTCGACGTGGCTTCGTTGTCTTCTGCGTGGTGAGGTAGAGGAGCAGCTCAGACCGGGGCGGCGACGCCGACGGCGTGCCTGCTGCAGCGCGAAGGCGGGAGCTTTACGGGCCTAGGAGGGCCCGGCCGAGCCTGGTGTGCTCCTGCTATTGCGTCTGGTCGGCTACCGTTGCTGACGGTGGAGGTTGAGCCCTCCCGCGTGCCGACGGTGCTGCTGCTTCTAGTCCCAGCTTCTCTTCTTCGGTGCGCAGACCTCACTTCGTGGTGTCGCGGTGAGATGGCGTGAGAAGCTTCAAGACCATGTTGGCGCAGGGTGGTGGTCGGTTGGGTGGTGGGCTCCGGAGCGCCCGAGGTGATGGTTGGGATCGGGAGAAATCCCTGTCGGCATGGCCGGCACCGACGCGGTGGCACTTGAGGGTGCCGCCGGACCTTCCTGGAGGGCGTCGGGGGCTACCCTTCTTTTCTCCTCGCCGAGTACCGGGGGAAACCCTTGGCAGCAACGTCGTCATCGTCGCGAACCTTTTTGGAGGTGTTGATTGGTATCGGCGTTTCGGAGTCTAAGAGCTTGGTGGGAGATCTACGGTGGTTGCAGTGGTCGCGAGGCTTTTTCGTTTTTGTCGATCCGCCGTTGTCGACATCTGTTCCTTTTATTTTCTCTTTCGTTTTTTTTTTGACGTGTCTGTACTGCTTCCGCTTCAGCATCTATAGTTGGTTGTATCCGTTGGTTGCTTTGTATTACAAAGCGGGGGAAACCCTTTCTCGTTATAAAATCCACACCGGTCGTTATCAATGAACACGAAGTTGCCCGTGCGGCCGGCGGAGAAAAAGGCAGCGCCCAGGGACCAGGGCACAAATCGTGCGGGATCAAACGTTGAATAAATCGACTGCGACTTCTAGGAACAAATTTATTTTGCGGGAAGACTTGTATCATATTCAGACGATTGTCAAACAACAAATCCAGTACGGTGGCGTAGTGCACTGTTCGACTCGTGAGGGCCCAGGGGAGGAGGGACCGCGTCGCTTACTCTCACGCCCACTTGCCAGCCAAGGGATCTCTCTGTTGATTATTTCCTGTCCCAAAATTCAGGAGGAAAATTTTGACGAAATTTAGTGCGAAATAGATGTGCATCAGCATCACGTTGCAGTCACGTACTCACACCCACTTGCCAGCCAAGCCGCCGCCATGGCAGGTCGCTCTCATGGTGACCATCCTTCCCTGTTAGCCAGTACAGCACAAATGGTAGGTTCCTTGCAGCCTACAGTAACCCAGGCTAAACTTTAACTTTAGTACACCTAATCCTTGTGTTGCTTGCGAGTTGTGACTTGTGGCCTGTGTACAAGTGCGGCGGTCAAAGTTGAGGCGACCAAGCGACAAGCGTGCGGCGCGAGGGCACCATGCTTCCCAGGAAGTTGTTGTTGCTGCTGCTTGTGGCAGTGGGTGTCGAGGCCGGCGTCGAGTTCGCCTACGAGGGCTTCCCCGCCGCTGGGCTGTCGCTCGACGGCATAGCAAGCGTCACGCCGGACGGGCTGCTGCTGCTCACCAACGACACCGACTTGAACCTAGCCCACGCCTTCCACCCGGCCCCGCTCAGGTTCCACCGGACGTCCTCCTTCTCGACCACTTTCGTGTTTGCCATCGTGTCGGAGCTCAACGACCTGAGCACGAGCGGGTTCGCCTTCCTGGTCGCGCCGACCAGCAGGGACCTGTCTTCGGCGATGGCGGCGCAGTACCTCGGACTGTTCAACGCCAGCGACAACGGCGACGCACGGAACCGCGTCTTCGCCGTCGAGCTGGACACCGTGCGCAACCCGGAGTTCGCGGACATGAACGACAACCACGTCGGCATCGACGTCAACAGCCTCAACTCCTCGGCGGCTGCCATGGCAGGCTACTACGACGACGCCACCGGCGCGTTCCGGAACCTGAGCCTGGCAAGCCGGGAGCCCATGCAGGTGTGGGTCGACTACGACGCTGCGGCGACGGAGATCACCGTGGCCTTGGCTCCGGCGCGGTCGCCACGGCCCAGGAGGCCGCTCCTGACCACAAGGATCGACCTCTCGACGGTCGTCGCCGACACGGCGTACGTCGGCTTCTCGTCGGGGTCCAGCATCGTGATGTGCAGGCACTACGTGCTCGGCTGGAGCTTCAGCCTGGACGGCGCCGCTCCAGCGCTCGACCACGCCAAGCTGCCGAAGCTGCCCCGCATTGGCCCCAAGCCCCAGTCGAAGACGCTCGCCATCGCGCTGCCGATGGTCACCACGGCAGCCGTCCTGGCTGCGGTCGGCGTTGGCCTCTTGTTGCTCCGCCGGCGGCTTAGGTACGCGGAGCTGCGGGAAGATTGGGAGGTGGAGTTCGGGCCGCACCGGTTCGCGTTCAAGGACCTGTTCGACGCCACCGCCGGGTTCAAGGACAAGCGGCTGCTGGGCACCGGAGGGTTCGGGAGCGTGTACAGGGGCGTGCTCCCGGGGACCCGGACCGAGGTCGCCGTGAAGAGGGTGTCACACGAGTCGAGGCAGGGGATGAGGGAGTTCATCGCGGAGGTGGTAAGCATCGGCCGGCTCCGGCATCGCAACCTCGTTCAACTGCTCGGCTATTGCCGGCGTAAAGGGGAGCTGTTGCTGGTATACTATTACATGCCAAATAGCAGCCTCGACAAACACCTGCACGGGCACGGCCATGCTCTGGACTGGGCTCAGAGGCTCCGGATCATCAAAGGCGTTGCCTCCGGCCTGCTGTACATGCACGAGGACTGGGAGCAGGTCGTCATCCACCGGGACATCAAGGCGAGCAACGTGCTTCTGGACGGCGACATGAACGGGCGGCTCGGCGACTTCGGCCTCGCGAGACTGTACGACCATGGCGCGGACCCGCAGACCACGCATGTGGTGGGCACCATGGGGTACCTGGCACCGGAGCTGGTGCGCACCGGCAAGGCGACGACCCTCTCCGACGTGTTCGCCTTCGGGGCGTTCCTCCTGGAGGTCGCCTGCGGCCGGAGGCCCATCGAGGAGGAGGAGGAGGAGGACGTCTACGGCGACGTCGACCGCTTCGTGCTGGCGGACTGGGTGCTGGGGCACTGGCGGAATGGCGCCATTATCCGCGCGGTGGACGCGAAGCTAGGCACAGGGTATGACGCCGCCGAGGCGGATACTGTGCTGCGGCTGGGGCTGACGTGCCTCCACCCGTCGCCCGCGGCGCGCCCGAGCATGAAACAGGTGATGCAGTACCTCGACGGCAGCGCGCCGTTGCCAGAGCTTCCCCCGACGTACGTGACGGTCAACATGCTTGCGGCCATGGAGACACACCAGGGCGTCCTTGGCACGTGGGCGGTCTGGCGGTCGGCGTCGAGCGTCGCCACCATGTCTGACATTGGCCTCTCCGGCCGATGACAGGGGCAAGCTGGTCAACACGTGCTAGGAAGATTGATCTGATGAATGTATGTTTGGATCGCTGTGATGTTTAGATCTGAATTGACAACTGGACATACGAGATTTCTACAGTTTTAATTAATACAGTACGTACTATATGGAGTATAGGATTTCTTGGAATACTGGAGGGGTTAAAAGAAGAATTATGAGTTCACTCTCAGGATGTGAACTTTGACAAGATTGCAGTTTGGAATTATTTTTTACACAAGAGCAGTCTGAAATCTCAACTTGGACCTTTCAGCTTTCACACTTTTCGTAGCATCGTTCTGTACATTGGAGCTCCACGAGCCAGGACATGGCGCTCCCAGTCGGACACCACGCCAAATGGGTTCTCCATCCGGCCATCGCTGTCCACCACGAGCTGGCCCTTGCCGTGCGAGATGAACTGCTCTTTCATTCCAAGCAGGACAGACTCCACGTCCGACTGTAAATAGATCTGCAACACCAAGTGCAAATTTATGCTTCATCTTTTTCTTTCCCAAGCTACAACAAAATGTTCTCTATCTGACTGAGCTTGATGCTATAATCACCCTAGCACATGTGCATGCGAGATGCTATTGAGGTGTTTAATACTGTCCTGCTAGATTGGTTACTATCCTATGTTGGTCATCATACTGTGTTCTACTACCTCCGTTTCTAAAATATAAGACGTTTTGGCAGTTTAGGAACGGAGGGAGTAGTTCCGAATAACTAGATTGGTTGCTTCCGTGCTTCGGCAGAAACGTAACCATGTTCAACATCTGAAATGGGCAAATGGGGACCACAGAGTATACCTTTCCATTGACCTGAAGAAGATCGGCAACAGCTTCGACAAGCATCCTTCGTACCATTCTCCACCTATTTTGTTCTTTGTTGAAGTCAGGATTTGGGCACTGCAAAAAGAGACCACAGCTTAAACAAGGCAGGTTATCCACTAGGTAGTGTAGCATCCATTGAGATATACACAAAAAGACGAGACGCTAAAGAGTTAACATACCTGTATTGAGACAAGTGTCAACTGTCCAGGATAACTTGAAACTATCGAGCGAAACGTGGAAGTTGCATTTGTCGATAGAAAATATCTGCCAAAAGTAAACGATGGCATCAGTAATGATGAAATAGGAGTCACAAAAATGAAAAAGAAAAACGAGCTACACGAATAAAAGTAAAATTCATAAAATGCTTGGAATAGTTAAAACAGTTATTAGAAGAACTTCCATGTAAGGACTACTAAATGACAAGCAAAAGCATACCCTTGTAGATTACTAAGCGTGACATCTGAACTTGAATACTCAATACAGCAACAATTTTCCCTAAAATGTACTCCATCTATAAAGAAATAAGAGTGTTTAGATTACTAAAGTAGTGATCTAACACTCTTATATTTCTTTACAGAGGGGGTAGCTCTCACGACATTTTTAACATGGATTATGTAATCCACCATCTGTTACGAAATCTGGATCTTTGTTGTGGCATACAACAAAGCAAGACATCTCGTATGAAAAAATTTAGCTCCGAGAGATTTCTGAAACATTGTTTAAGGTTAAGCCGATTTCACTGTCACCTCATCATATAAAAAGATCCAATGGGTCAATAATTCCCTAATAATAGATAATTGCTCTGGTCCCAATCAGATTATGATGCTCGGAAAATTTCACCATCCTACATGAATTGACAAGTTCAAGTCCAATCTACATGCATTGACAAGTTTAGTCAAACTAGTTGTCCAGAATAATAACCACATTAGAAAAAGAATGCTTCAAGTCAAGGTGGACAGAGTCACAGAAACAAGGTTACTTTGTTCTTTGTCGGAGTAATTTTATGAGCAAACTAGTTGTTGGAACTGACATCACTGGCATGAACAGAAAGGGCAAGGGAAAGGAAATAAATAAGTAATAGTTCTACTAATTAAAGTAGATGTACAGGATGCTTACAAGTTTCTTTTCCCAGCTAATGTTACATCCTGAAGGCACCTTACAACAAGCTACAGCTAAAACAAGTTACAAAAAGGTTGAAGCACTAAATTCAACACAGGATACAGGCAGTTTTTACCTTTTCATTCATCTCAAGCCCAAGAAAATTCAAGCCTTCCCAGTTTCTAGCCATTTGGAATAGAAACAAACCATTTCCTGCACTAAGAAATATACATACTTGAGAAGGGTGCAAGAACCAGAGATGCAAGGCCTCGGAATTTGAGAAAATAGACAAACTATGAAGAAATTAAGAAATGTTCTATATCTTGGTAATTTACGCTAGCATACATTTGCAAACATACACTTTGACAAAGCACACAGCAAACTAATAACAATTGAAATGAATGAACTATTTTTTGTGATGACTACAGAAGAGAAACTGGCATTCAAGTCTTCTGAAGAAAGCCCTATATGCACCAGAAAGAGCAATAGCCGTATGCGACCTGTAAAGCTTGAAATACTTCAATGTACTAGACACTTTCAGAGATGGAACCAGTAAGAGCAGCCACATTAAGGTTTTCTATCATTAAACTAGTGTGACAAACCACAACTATAGATTTGAGATTGGTCGTCTCCATCTGTGTTCATCATGCAACATAAAATGATTTGAGATTGAATATTCTAGGAGGGAGGCCTACCACTTCCTATATCAACAAACAATGGTTGTGTGGTGTCAGAGAAGACGTCATCCCATGGAATCTGATAGGGATAGCTCTGCAAAAAGAGGAAAAAATAATGAAAAAAAAAAAGAATCCGGGGCCACTAGAGAAAGGGAACTTTACAGTGTTCCAGTTTAAAAACTATTCTATCGGTAGTAGCTAAGAAATGTTGGCCTTCATTTGACTGAAGAATTCAATAAGAACAACGGTACAAATTGCATGCAAACTTAGGTGCATGTCATCAAATGCAACAAAAATCGAATACAAGAGAATGCCTGTGGCTGTGACACTGACAGATCTGATGCATATAGGAACAGAATACATCAATGGGCGATGATTATTTCTGCTACCAAATATATTTATGAACATGTTGTTAAAGTTGTTGCAACAATGAGCTGGTTAAATGGTGCTAAGAAGCAATAAGCATGTGGTACTACATAGTAAGGTCCATGTTACAAGTCGTCGAGCTGCTAAAACTTCTCAAGCGGAAAACCCCAGTTAATTATTTACCCCAAAGATCCCTATTTCTTACGTGAATATTCATCATTTCTTATACAACTATATGTTGTTCAAGTTTTTCTTAAAGGAGTAAAGAGGATTTTGATTTCAATCCCTTTCTATAATTTACTGCTCCATCCGTCCCAAAATAAGTGTCGTGGCGTTCACGTAAAGAGTAAAGCGGCCTAGAAGTTTACAAGAGTCATAGCATTACATAACAGAAAAACGACCATGTCAACTGCCAAACATTGGAATGTGCTCTTGAATAATTTCGAAACAGGGAACTCTCTCCATTTTCTCATAAATGTAACTTGAAGATACTGTTATATTTACAACGTTAAATCCCAAGAACCACTTGAAAATGAGGCTTAATTGTATAGGTATGCACATATATGTCGGCATGCTGGGGGCATCAGGGTAGCAGGCTACACTTTTTGTCTTAGAATGTTGAGGACTTGTGCCAAGATTTGTGTCATGCATGATGCATTGATTGTATAGGCACAGACATATGTGCTTGCACTGAGAATCATTCTACAATTTTTTATCTTGATAAAATTTTGAGTGCACTAGCAGACTCAGTAACAGAAATAGTAATTCTAGAGCATGACTTACTTTATCCAATGCTGCAATACCAGGCAATATTCCTCCTTTGAGAAATTCCCATACAATAGATTCATTTTCAAATGCTGTATATTGTGATGAAGAATCTGACATTCCTTTTACTGCCTTGCATGCTGCAACCCCTACTAAAATAATGTCGCAGCTATTATGACTTGCTTTGTTCAGTATCTGACCCAACTGTGTTGCCCCGACAGAAAATTCTTCTGTCAAGTCAAAGCTTGTAGGACCGATCCATAGGATCTTCTGTGAGAAATAATTAAATTAATGTGAGAACTTGACGGGATAAAAGGATTTTCCTAAGAATTAAGGCATAAGTTGATAACTGAAAATAAAAAGGGAACTCCAATCATATGTCATATCGGAGGCCTGTACTGTTAACCCCTCATTCTATTCAATGAAGTGAAACGCAAAGTCTTTGTGTTTTCTTGAAAAAAAATCATACGTCCTACTTGATACTATACCAAGTAAACGTGAAAACATAAATCATCACTTATCAATCATAAGCTCTCAAGTTGCTCAGCATGTATTGTTGTCTGTAATGCGTTATTCTTGTGACCTATCAGATTTTCAAAGCAACTTTGTGGAGTTGTGGGGTATGTTTTGCAGGTTGATTCTTGTCAAGATGGTGCTCATGGGAGCCAATCACCTGCTGTTTTGTGATCGTCATGCACAAAAGCGTCCAACAAAGTGGGGACCCGCCCAAGCCAGCAGAAAACAGTGAAGGGTGAGACTAAAACTGGCCTTAAGAACAAAATTTATGTGGGGGCTAG